GAGGGGCCCCCATGGGGGCCCCCAGAGGCGCTGCAGCAGTACCCACCCGCGAACCCAGAAGCACTAGGGGGCCCCCCTACATCTACGCAAGTGTTAGAAAGGGCCTTCTCCCCATACTTTGCATATAACTCTTGCTGGAGGCCCCCCCCTACAGGGGGGGGCCCCCCTGGTGTGGGTACTCCTGGGGGCCCCGCGAAGGTGTCTAGGGGCCCCTTGCTGTTACCCAACGCCTTGAGAGGGGGCCCCTGGGGGGCCCCCTCTACTGAACCCACGATGGGGGCCCTCTTACGGTTGATAAGGATATATGAAGGCTCCTCGGGGGGTACTGGCTGGGGGGCCTCTTTGCCCTTGGTGCTGGAGGCAGCAGCTTTCTGTGTTTTTCCTCGCTTAGAGGGAGCTGCAGCAGCTGCTGCTGTTGCTGCTGCTGCTGCTGCAGTTGCTGATGTTGCTGCTGCAGTTGCTGTATCTGCTGCAGCAGGTTCAGTAGGGAGAGAAGCACAGACAGCAGCAGGCTCATACTCTATACGTTCATTCGGGGGGTTGGGGGCCCCCAGATGCACCACACGGGTCCAGCCCGTCAGGGGCCCCAGCAGCTCAGCAGGTATGGGGGGCCCCCCCTTAAAAGAAGGGTCTATAAACTTGGGGGCCCCCTCGGGGCCCTCAGCAGCAGCCCCTTTGTTTCCTTCAGGGGGTACCTTAAGGTCACCCCATGGGGTGTACGTACACCCCAATTTCTGGCCCGGGTAAGCAGCAGGAATCTCAGTAAACCCCTCGGGCCTCGCTAGTGGTTTCACAGGGTCTAGAGGGATAAACTGGGGGCCCCCTGGGGGCCCCTCTTCCTGCGGTGGGGGCCCCTTGGGGGGTACCATCGGGGGCTCGTTCTGTACGCCAATAGAAGCTGAAGATACACCCCAATTTCCTCTTTTTTTTTGCTGCTATTTGCAGCAATAAAAGAAATAAAATTATTTATTTTTGTTGCGGAGAGCAGCAGGGGGCCCCAGCTGGTACCCAGGCACAGCGACGAGCCCGAGGGTCACCTCTCCCCTGTATCTGGGGTGTCTATACACTGAAATATGTTTAAATAAAAGAGAAAATTCATTGAAATTTATCATTTAAAATATATTTATATATATTGAGAAATAAAATACAAATAAAAACAACAAAACTGATGCAACATACCCATGCCCCCCAATACCCATCGAGGCGGAGGGGCCCCTGCAGCTACTGAAGGGCCCCCAAAGCAAGTTGAAATAGGGGCCCCCAGTATTCCAATAGGGGCCCCTAAGGCCCCTCGGGGGCCCCCAACTCAGGCTGGAAGGGGGGCCCCTTGTGTTCCAATAGGGGCCCCTGGGGGCCCCCAACAATGCCTGAAACGGGGGCCCCCGGAGCTCCAATAGGGGCCCCTACAGTGGTTCTGCAACAGGGGCCCTCAGTACCCATGAACCACCCCCAACACAAGCTGAAGGGGGGCCCCCTAGGGGTCCAGAGGGGCCCCCAAAGCAGACTGAGCTGGGGGCCCCAGGGGTACCCCTTGGGGGCCCCCAACTGAGCAGGAAAGGGGGGGGAGATAAACCCCAAATGCTTCTTAGGGCCCCCAGCACTGGGGGCCCCCCAAGGGGCCCCCCATAAGTTTATAGATATAAACCCTTGGGGGCCTCTTCTTGGTCCCTCTCTGATGCTATGCATGCATTGAGGTGTATACGCATGCACTCAGGTGTATTTTATAAAGAAAAATTAACAAGAAAATAATGAGATGTCTAGTATATATATATATATATATATATATATATATATATATACATATATAT